AATCATCACAATTATGACAAATCACGGCTTGAACTATCTTGCTTTGCATGTAATGAGTCTATCTCGTATATTAGTTTCACCTTTTAAGTTGCATTAGTGAAATAAATGAACTTTGCACGATATTCTAATTATTCGAGTTTCACCTGTATACCGAGAGAAATATAGGGCTGAGATTGCTGACCCCCCAATAATTCTAGTTGCCTGGTTGTCCCTGGCTTATAAGGTATTAGTCACTGATTTGGAACAAGCATACAAGAATAAAGCCAAAACTCCTGCTATGCATGTTTGTTCTGGGTTAGAATCTGAAATACTGAAGGCACGAGTTCAAAAAGCTAAGCAGCTAGCATTTTCAGGAGATGCCACCAATGGCAGCCTTTATATTCTCAGAGCAGTTCTTCAACCTTAATGAATAATAATGACACATTTCTGGCCTCAATGTATATTTAAAAACATTTTTACACGTGGCAACCATGCCAGGGTTACTGTACAAAGCTGCATCTTCTCTCCTAAACTCAAGTTGACAATGACAGGATCCAACCAATCCTCCAATGTCAAACTGACCGTCCTCTATATGTTATACCGGCAGCCCCTGAGGTGCTATTGATAATCATCTATCTCCAACTGCAAGCCTCTGCTCAAAGAACAGCAGATCTCCTTGTTTGTCATATACTCATCTACTGGTTGGGCCTATAGAAGCATATTCTCTGTACACATTATGATATGCTGCCATAGTTATTTTTGTCAACATATGGAATCTTTAAAGCTCCACTCTGTCCAAAGCAGTTGCTCCCTTGTTGGTTGGTCAATTATTCACCTTCTCCTCGTACTGAGCTCACTATTCTTCTGGATCAGTAAAGGTCCCTGCTGCTGGACAGCCAATAGGAAGTGTCCACATCATGGAGGCAGTGACGAGGACACCCAAAGAAGGAGCCCTCCAGATGTAATCAGAAAAGGCTCAGGCCTGGAAGGTCACGTGACTCTGGCTTTAGGCAAGTAAAAAGACCATTTATTTTGCTTTTGTGATCCAGCGATCAGTTAGAGGGGGTTGTTCATATCCCCAAGATGTTTTTTGACATGCACATTCAATCAAAGATGCATTTTGTGTATCTGCCTATGGTGTGTATACAGTTTTGTCCACATCAGAGAGAAGAGAATTCAGTTTACACTGTTCAAAGGCATAACTGATCCTGCTAAAAGTTCCTAGGAATAAACTTTGGTCAGTGCAAGATGTAAGGCAATACAATCTTGGAGATCCAAATTTTGCTCCTGGACCACTATTAGTGCCACAGCAACAAGCGATTAATGTAGATGTCAAGGAAGCAGTTGCAGAGATTATGCAATGTTCTGCAGAGCTTGTCTCTGCTTTCTGTAAATCAAACAAGGAAGTCAAGAAGGTACCCTTCTGTATCAAGGTGCTTACAGAGGACACTAAGTGGTAACCTCTTAAAAAGTGAAGCAACTACCCAAAGTGTTTTTGTGAACTTATCCTTTAATTAAGCAGTAAATGAAAGTAGATAAGAAATTAAAATTAGATTCCTAGAACACCCCCC